CATCATGAAACCCAAAAGGATCTCCCAGGTTTTAAATTTGGCACAAGTCCTGTTGTGCCTGCAAAGGAAGGAAGTGATTTACCCCTCAAGCTGGCACTTGGATGATGTGTAGGCATTTACTTTTTGCTGGGTTGGGGATACTTGAGTTTTTGTGGCCTTTCTATAGCTACTCCAAGCATTATAAGAGAGCACAAAATAAACTGCCTAAAAATAACTGCCAGGGAATTATTAGTTGGAAGTTGAGGCAGGAGCCAGCTGCCTGAAAGCAAAGCCTGTCTGGGGGCTTTTGGGGGCCCAGAGGTACCACTGCCCTGTCTCACTGCTCTTTCAAAGTCCAGTATTCCATCAAGCACCTACAACATCCAATCCATCCCCAAAGGAAAGATAATTTTAATTCCAATCCATGCAAGATCCATGTGACAGCTCCTGTAAGATGCAGAATATGGGATTGAAATGAAAATGCAAAATCAAGGTTTGTACTGTGTAGCCCAGTGCAGAGCAGTCCTGCTTAGCTGGGTGATTTTTTGCCAAAGAGCATTGCTGTTAAATAATATTAACTACTAAATACACTGAAACAGGCTGCTCCAAGGAGCTGGATGAGGGTCTTTCTCTCCTTGCCTCAGTTTCCCACTTGTCTTAGCACAAGTTATGTTCCTTGTTATCCATCAGAGGCTGCCAAGCACATTTCCAGGAATGGGACTTCTCTAACATGTCCCTAGACTTGATTCTGCAGAGGACAGAATGACAAATAATTTTATTTACCCACCAAAATTCACTCACTAGGTAAAATAAAATCAAAAGCAGCCAAGAAGGGAGGAAGGAGAAAGGAAATCAAAAGCCAGGTACGCTAAAACCCAACTGCTGGCTGACTGCACATCAGGGGAGGGGAAAATGTGCCACGAGCTGTTAGTTATAAAGATAATTATATCCTTGATGAACAGCGGGGTCTTTTGGAAAATAGCTCTTCTTGATTGAATTAATGGAGGCAAACCACAGGCTTTAGACAGGCACTGGCAATGTCTGTACAGCCCTGACTTCGCCCACCCTGAGTTCAAATCATCTCTGGCCGCGGCCACCATCAAATTCCTGCTCACAAGAGCAGGGTGGAAAAAAGGAGGGAAGCCCACTGGATTCTGTGCACCCCGAATCCAGGGGCTGAAGGGAACCAGCCACATCCCTCCTGCCTTCCCAGGGAGGACTGTGGCGTCCAACACTGCCAAACCAACACCTTAATCCAACGTTAGAGCCGGGTTCAGAGCTATTTTTAAAACATCAACAAAGCACTGGATGCCACAGATGTTGGTGTGGTCTCAAAGGCAGGGAGAAAGGAGCAGCCACCACACTCCAGATCTCAGGAATGTGCTAAAGACAAATGTACTCTCCTTCCACCCCCGGGATTATTTTTTCCTTCAGCTATTTCAGTTGATTGAGGCTAAAATAAGAACAGGGAAAAGCAACACCAAGGTTAAAAGTGCCTGGCATTGGTTTGGAGACAACACACTGTGATCCTGCTGGTTCAGGTTTCAACGTGTGTTAAACACAGATTTTCTGCTACATGAGACAAGCAAACATTTTATTGAATTACCCTCAAGATAAAAAAAATCACTGCCTGGGCAATCTCACAGATTTGCCAAGAAGAAGCACATACTGAGTAAATATAAAAATCTGTTAGGGAGGGAGAAAACCAAAATAACCTCACTGTCACCTTGGTGCACCCACCACAGGCTGCACACAGCAGCAGCAGCTTCACTAAACACTTTCAGCACAGAGTTTCCAGACTGAAATCTGCTGCTGGGCCACATGAGCAGCCCAGGAATCACCAGAATCATTTGTTTTCCTTTTCAACAGAGACTCCTCAATGTGGTTTTCCTCCCTTCCAGCTGAAGAGCACACGGAGATTTTGCACCTCTCTGCAACTCCCCCACACACAGCGCTGCTGCTTTCCCTGCAAACATTTCCTAAAGGATACAGGGATGCCCAGGGGGGTAACCCTTGGCTGAAATTGGGGGATTTTCACCCAGCCTCCCCACTGGGAGTGCTTCTCTGAGGTGTCAGGATGCGTTTTCACATCCCCAAAAGCTCACGTTGTAGAAGCACAGAGACAAGGGACTGAAACTGCGAAGCAGCTTCATTAGTGGATTTGATGGTTAAAAGCGGCTCTGTAGGCAGCATAATGGCAGACAGAGATGAAGATTCCCTGGTAATCACTCACCCACAGCAGGAACTGACCTGGCAAACCCCAGGCATGGCTGTATTTTAGAGGAGAAAAAGGCATTTAGCTATCTGAGTGAGCTGAAACGCTGCATTTCCCCTCTAATGGGATTTTAATGCTCCTCTCGCTCCATCCCAGTGGGGTTTTGGTCCTTGCTTGGTGCAGGGTCTGTGCTGGGAGGGGCTCTGACCACAACCACGGCTTTGGGGCCCAAAAAATGACAGAGCCAGACACTGCACCCAGTCAGGGAGGCAGAACAAAGTTGCCAGAGCAGAGCAGTAACTCCGGATTCTCACCCACGGCTTTCCAAGACCTCCCTCAACTCTGCCACAGCCCCAAGGTGGATTTCCAGCCCTGTGGAAAGGTGAGAGATGCCAAGCCCATCTTCAGGCATTATGAGGTCCCATTCCATTCCACCCAGGCCATGGCATTTGCATTTGCACTACTCGCAGCCTGCCGGGTCAGCACCATCGGGAGGCTGCAGTGCCGGTGCTTCACGGCTCTCATCGCTCCAGGGTTAACAAATGCAACCCTGTTTCTCAAAGCCAAGAGGCTTCCTGAGCAGATCACACAGCCAGCCCAGCAAACCCACCCGCCACTGGCTCCTGCAGGAAAACAACTGGCACCCATGGGAGCAGTGGAAGGAATTTTGTTGTCCCCATCCACACGCTTCTCTTTTGATGCATAGGAAGTTCTGAGTCCTCTCCATGCTCTCAAAGGAGGAGGAATGTTTTACTTTATTGGCAGGGATTTCTAAGAGGGCACTCTGTAAATATTGAGGAGGATTTTCTCAGAGAGGCAGCAGCCTTAAATTCGAGTTTAAAGGCAGCTTTAGCTTTTGCTAAAGGAGGCACTCAAACTGCAATCAGTGGCAGGCATTACCAAATGTGCTTTGGGCTGAGAGAAGACACAAAGCACTTTAATTCCCGTTTTCCAGGAGAGCTCATAAACAGTGCCCAGAAGTTTTGTTTTTAAGAAAGCACCATTTTCTGTAGGCTGCACAAACACAGTGCTGTACAGCACAGACAGAAGATGCAGGGAATCAAGAAGACATCAATGTTTATCTGCAATTGCCTCTTACAGTAATAGTTATCTACACCCAAAAGAAATCCAAGCAGCCCAGCACTGCCCTTCAACACCAAAACACAGCACAGAATCACACTATCACCACTGCCCCAGGAACAGCAAGAGCCTGCCTCATCCCCTCCTCCCTGAGCAGCCTCTGCAGGAAGCTGCAGCCAAAACCCAGAAAAAGCTCATTCTGCCTTAATGGAAGTGGTTGCCTTGGGGTACAGCTGGATCCCGGGCCTGCTGAATGAGACTGGGGTTTTTGGGATGACTGATGCCCTGACTGCCACTGCTTTTTAAAGACTGCAGCCAGTGGTGAAGTTTCTTAAAGCTCAAGCTTTAAGAGAAAGGTTTTTCTTTCAGACACTTCCCTTAAAAAAAAAAAAAAAAAGTCACTTTAAAACACCTGCATTGGTGCAAATCACCGTGATTGCTGAGCACTCGGCTGCCACTTGCAATTTCAGTGCAGTCCCGACTGTAAAAGCAGAAAGGTGTAAAAAGAGTGGGTCTTTTCACTAAATGTGTTCAAAATACAAAATCCCAGGAGGAGAATGCAGTGAAAAACACATCCACAGCACAAAGATTAGCTGCCACCGGGCACCTGGTTCACACAAGAGGCAGCATCCTGCTGCTCCCGAGCCCACTGGAGATGGAAAGGAGCTGCCTGGAGCGCTTTTAAAAATTACAGCTCCCAAACCAAGAGAAGGGAGAGTCAGGGAAAGGAGTCAGGAAAGCAGAGCAGAGAGAAATCCTAGCCAGCAGGAGTTAGCGCTCCCTGCACAGGGCTCTGCATCCAGGAACGTGCAGCCTTTCCCTGCAAGCCAGCAGGGGAATGTGCCTCGTCCAAGGGCACGGGCTGCTCCTGCCCTGCACAGCTGAGGAGCAGTAAATAGTTAATTACATGGTACAGATCAGCACATTATGTGCAGCACGGCCCAATGCATCATTCACCGGGGCTCGGGGGAGAAAAGCGGCACAGGGGAAGGAAGGGAAGGAAGGAGAAATTTGCGCTGCCTCAAGGAGCACTTTGATTTTGTGGAAGATCAGCGTTAGGATGAGGGGCTGCGGTTTCCCTTTGGAGCACCTTAAATAAACACACCTTTACACAGCACCAACATCCCTCCGAGCTTTTGCTGCAGGTACACGGGTGACAAGCACGGCACAAATCTCTACCTGTTGCACTGAAATGCCAGGAGCAGCAAAGAAACCGAGGCACGGTGCATCCCATGGAAACAACCACACAACGCCAGCGCTCCCAACCCCACCACCGGCGAACCCAGAACACCCAACCCCAGCTCCTTGAAGGGGCACTTCTGGCCGCCTCCTCTTCCCTGCGGCTCAGCACTGGGAAGTGAGACTCTAAAGCAGTAATTAAAGCAATAATTAAACATTTGCAACAAAAGGCACGGACAGGAGACAGAACTCGCCTCGGACCATCTCACCTAGCAAGCAGGGAATCTCCCACAAAACAGGCTGAGTCCCACAGCATCACCACCTCACTGCTCCTGAGGCCAAGCGCCCTGGAATGATTTCTCTCTTTAATTTCCCCACTGCTGTCGCTAGATAAGCCAGGCTGGAGCCTCGCCGGGCGCCAGGGAGAGCGGTGAATCCGCGGCGGAGGCGGCCGGGGCTGCACGCCCGCGCCCAGAGGGCGCAGAGGGAATCCCGGGGAGCCTCTCCAGCGGCCCCGGGGAAGTTGTGTCGCGGCGGCCGCACTTACCCAGGACGAAGCAGAGGAAGCGCCGCGGGAGCAGGGCCATGGCCCCGCGGCAGGAGCGCTCCGCTCCCGGGGCCGGGCGGGCTCCGCGCCCGCGGCGCTGCCAGAGGGGCGGGCCCCGCCCCGCCCGGCTCCTGCCCCGCTCCCGCCCCGCTCTCCCGGCGGCAGCGCGGGGTAGATGGGCGGGAAGCGCTCCCGTGGGGGCAGCGGGACGGAGGCCGGGCTCTCCTTATCGCCCTCTCGCAGCCCAAAGGCGCGGCGAAGGGAGCGAACAGTTCCGAAGGAATGCACGGAGCAGTCCGGCTTCCTCACGCGCTTCCCGTAATCCCGCTCCCACCTCCACCGAGGGGGTTTCGCCCCAGCTAAAAACCCTGCCTTTCCCCTTTCTAGGGCTGAACGTACACATGGAGCGCGATTTTGAGGAGAAATGTTTTGTGGATTCCGCTTTAATTTTTGTTGGGAGTGTAACATCGTTCCCGAGCTCCTAGAGCTCCACCTGCAGCTCGCTCCCGAGCTGTGCCGGAGCAGCAGAGCCTGCCCGGGCTCCTCAGGTGCTCCGGATCAGGATACGGCCCTGGGAGCAGGGCAGGACTCTGCCTGCAGCGAGGCCACTGCCCCACAACTCGCGCTTGAAGTCAGCTCTCCCTTTCAAAGATCAATAAAAAAGGGAACGTGAAGGAACAGCAGAGTGTGCTAACTGGAGTCTTTCACATCGTGCACACTTCTGCTTTCCCAGGAGGAACAGAACAGCTCGCAGGCCAGAGAGCCAGTTCTGCCTGAACTATTACCACCTCCCTAAGCACAGAGCCGAGCTCGGGGAACAGAAACAGCAACAGCTGCTGGTGATGAGGCAGAAGAGCAAAGCCCGGGACTGCTTCCATCCTGACAGACCCGGAGACACCAAAGCTGAGGCCTCACCTGCAGCACCAGGACCAAGGGCACGGCACAAAGCCACAGCTCTGCCACGAGCAGAGGCAGCAGAAGCGGTCTGCAAACAGCACAACACTGGCCCAACTCTTTTGAAGAACAAACTTTAACCTTTATTGACAGTAAACAAGGCTGTTCTTTCCAACAACAATTGCAGCAGGGTCTAGAACAAAGTACAACAAAGAAACTGAGTTACTATAGGTGAGCTCTGAGCAGAATCACCTTCTCTTAAATGTATTACATACTTGTTCCTCACTATGGAAAAAGGGGATTCTTTTTCTCCCCATTATTTACTAATGACTCGGCCATTTCGCACCTCCCTCATGATGAAAATAAGAATTATTGTAAGTCATCATCCCCCACACAAAACAACTTGAAAAAAAATACTGTAATAGGAACAATTAGGACTGCAGAGCCCACACACCAATAGAAAACAAAATAATCACTCCACAAGGAAAGCACAACACATTTTGAGTCTGTTAAAACCTTACTGACTGAAAATGCTTCCAGGCATAGAATTTTAACATTTTGGGGATGAGTTTCTGTCCCTATCTGCAGTCCTGTGAAAGTCAGGCAGGAGATTAATATGAAGAATTTTCCTTTTTGCAGGAAACCTGGCAGTGGCACTGCTAAGAGGTACCTAAAGCAAGCACAGCACCAAGCTGAGCAGGAGACTAAAGCAAGGATGGAGAGACACCTCCCTGGAATTCCGGGCTGTGGTTTCAGCACCTTCAGCTTGCTGCAGTGCCACACCACCGTGCAAAGGGATGGGTGTGAGAAAACGACAAGACACAGTCTGATTCTGTCAGGTTTCCAGCCCAGAGCTGGCCCCCAGACAGAAACCATCAGTGTCTGGATCCAGAACGGAGCCAGGGCTGGGATTTCTGGAAGAGAGGCTACACAAAGCCTGGCCGTTAGGTGTCAGCTGTGCACCGAACTCGGGTGACAGTGCCCTCCGCACAGCTCGTCAGAGAAGCAGTCCAGTTGGTGGAATCCAAAATATAGGGAGTTCTCAGAACTCTGGGCCTGTAAGCCAAAGCTTAGAATTAAACACAGGATTTGATCTGAGACCTTGGAAAAGGCTTCCAAACTTAGGTGACAGAAATGAGAATGTGGATTTATAGTTTAAAACAGAGACATGTTAAGAAAAGTTTAGAGTTTTAAATAAAAGTAGTTACAAAGGTAAACAAGGAGTTTAGAATGCAGCACTGTAGGTTTGTGTATCATAACATGATTGGCTAAGAAAGCTTACACTGTAACAAGAGTCCATAAGACAAAATATTTAAAAGTTGGGTCAAAAACATAAATATCCTTGTTAACAGTGTTTTATTGGTCAATAAAGCCTTAAAAAGTCTTATAACTAAAGGTCTTGTGACCTTCTGTACCATGCAGTAAAGATGTGAGCCAAACTCACCCTTCCTATCTAAACAGAAGAAAAATAAACTACATCCTGTAAAAACTCATAGAGGTCCCATCTCTAACTCATTCAAAATTCCTTCCAAAATCCCCATATTCCATTAACCACCAGTTATACACAATGTAACCTGTTTTAGAGCTCCCAGTTCTTATACACCACTGCTGCAGTGGATTCACCCCAGTACCTCCTGCAGGGCTTTAGGCTGCATTAATCTAGCCAGGCTGTAGGGTGGGTCATTCCCTTAGGCTGGAATGCTCACCTTTTTCAGTGCTTCTCCTGCTGAGAACACCTCCTCAGAATGTCAGAGGCCTTCTCCTCGATAGAACTGATGGCCAAGCCACTCAGGACACCTTTGTTCATTTTCCTCACCTCCTGCACAGCCCCCACAATTTCATTTCTGTGGGAATTGAGGAAGTAACTGTTAACATCACATTTTGTGCCACACATTTAGCATTACTTATTGGCATTTAGCAGTTGGGTATTGGCTCCATTACAAATCAGGGCTGAAAAGAACCCCAAATATCCCACCTGCTAAACCCTGGATGCTTTTCTTGAAGTCTCTTTATTAACTTGGTAAAGCTGCTCAAGTTCAGTGCATAAGGAGAAACAAAGATACCAGATGGGTTCACAGAGGATGTTTTCTGCAGGGAATTTTCCCCAGGATCCTAGAATTGCATCAAAATAAGGAAAAAAAAGCACAAGTTAAGGGTTGTGCAGGTAATACAACACCTCTTTCCTATGAATAAATATAAAATCCTAGACCCACAGAACGGTTTGGGTTGGAAGGCACCTTAAAGCTCATCTTATTCCTGCTTTATTCTAATAAAGTAAAATAATTGGATCTAATTTATTTTAAATTAGATCCAATTACCATTTCCCAAAGGAGCAGCATGCTTAAAGGGAAATCCCCAAAGACACAAAATCTGTGAACAACACCAGCAATTACTGATTGCCCTTTACTCTCCAAGGACCAGGCTGAGCCAATACAAAACCCTCTGTTTGTATGTAGAGGTTTCTTAGATTTATGCAAGAAAATCCAAGAGTTTCTTTCCCATCCATTACCCCAAAATCTTTCCTCTATAAAGCCACATGACATTTACATTAAAAAAACTGGTGTTACAAGATGAAAAATCTAGTGCAAATGGGGAAATTCCATATTGCCCTAGGATTAAGAAAAAACAGCTGGAGTGTCATAGTTTGAGGCAGGGGCAAAAGAATGGTGTTTTCACTCTTCTGCCACAAATTTATTACCAATGTGTAATGTATTTTCCTATCCTAACAAAATTTTCTATCTATTAAATGTTATGTGACAAGAAGATTTAAAGCTCTTAGTCTGCCACACAAAGGAGTGTTAGCAATAATTACTTCCCTTTTGATTATCTCCAAGTAAAGAATGTGCCAGCTGTTGAGTAGGGGATTTCAGATCAGGGCACTTGGTAGTAAATGTAGAGTATGAAAGAAGCCTTAAAGAGGCAAGAAATTCCTACTGCAAATTAAGAACAGACCTACCTCAGGCACTGAGGGCTTTGGGCCACCAACAGGAACAGAAGAATGTTCCTTCCCTCTCCCCACTATCTTCACTTCTAACAACAAATGTAAGAAAGCAAAGAGTTACTAACTGTTCTTGAGCTGACACCTTTGTAGATTTTGGACAACCCAGAGAGAAAACCTTAGAACAAAGTAAGGGAAAGAAAAGAATCTTCTAAAAGAAAATGAGAAGCACAGCAGTTCAGTTTGTGGAACATCCTTTCCCTGAGTGTTTCCTGAGGTTTTAAGAGGCAGAGGAAACACAGCACAGTACCAGTGCCGAAGGCTGGCACAGAGAATCCCCAAGCCTTCAACACCCTGGCACTCCTCACCACACCCATCACTGTGACTCAAGTCTCCAAACACAAACCATTTGCATCTCACTCTGCAGAGTCCAGCATGGGAAGGAGGAGGAGAAAAAAGGAAAGATTGCCACCTATGTGATTGGCTGGGTATTTACAAATTTGAGTTCAAGCACCACAAGTGAAGCTTTTTTTGAAAAACAGGGATGGATGAAAACAGCTGAGTACAAGGATTCACTGCTAGAGAATGAGAAAGTCTGAAAACCCAGCTGGCATTTATTCCAAGTTTACCTATGCTTGGAGAAGGAACAGAGCACTCCAATAATAAACACCATTATTTGGTTTATCAGCTTAAAGCACACAACTTTACCTCTTGAGTCAATCGAGTCTTGTTTTCCTTGTTGCTTTTTCATTTCTTTGCACATTATTGAAATATCTGCCACTGACAAGTCTTCCTTAGCATCAAACCAATACTCACTTCCTTCCTCATTTTTCACAAAGCCTTGGCAGTTGGGATAAAATTCAAGTGTTAAAGTTTAAATCATGGCATGCTACATAAATGAGTATCAAATTTCTGTGCTGAAGAGGATTTCAGCTACTCACATCTCTTGGTGCTACATTTCAAAGAGGTAACACTACTAGTTTGGAATTCTAATTTAAGTAGAAACGTGTTTTTAAGATGTAAGTAATTAATATAGAGCTATTATTACTTATCAATAAATTTTGATAGCTGATACAGAACTTCACAGAAAGGGCAGCTGTGTTACCATATACAAGTTTTACACAGGGTTTCTTTCCTCCCCTGAGAACTCAGCTCACAAATAAAGAATTATTATTTTTTAGGAGCAGATCACTCACCACATTCCAGAGCCTGATCTTTAAGTTGCTCTTCCCACGTCTCAGGGGAAGCAGAGTCACCTGGCTGATCACTATCAGTCTGTGAGCTGTCCTACAAACACATTTCAGTTGTATCACAGCACTCCCACCTGATTCTAAGTTATTTTTCAGAACACCAGCCCATGAAGCAGGTGAATTTTAAAAAGTTAATCTGCTGATCATCCCCAAGTTATTTTATTTTGAAAGGGCAATTAAAATGGTGAACATATGAGCTGCATTTGCAATCAGTGGCAGAGGATCCCAGGCTGAGAGCCCTGAAGACTCTGATCACATTTGCAGGTACCCAAGGAGAAAATACTTCTCAACATTACCATCTCCAAAACCCAGGAGTGAAGAATTCCCTACCATATTGACAGAAATCCCCTTTTCTTGCTGTTTTGGTTCTTCAAAGTCAGCTTTCCCTTCACCTGAAAGATCACTAAAACACAGCCAAGAATTTCATACAAAATATGGGACAACAATTTTAAGTTCTACAGTAATTTAAATATTTCCAGAAGCTCGCAGTAAAACTAACATAACAAATTTTGGCTTTTTTCATTATATCTTAATAGCTTTCTGTGTGATGTTTGGATGTATTCCTTACAATCTGAAATACCTGTGCAACTTTGACTAAGAAATTATTTATAAAACAAAACAATTGCCTTTACCTTTTCTTAATTAACTTCACTCATGCTTAACAGGAAACTTCAAGCAGTCTCTAGCAGTTAACCCAATTCAGTAAAAACTTACTGCCAAATTTGTTTTCCACTTACAGAAAGTCACTGGATGGGGTTCCTGAATGTGTTCTATCAGGTACCTGCCTGAAAAAAGAAGTTATTTTTCTATCATTCTTCATATCTGAATGGTAATCTTAGCAAAACAGCTTCATATAATCTCTTAATGTTATCTACATGCTTAATATTATCTCTGCTGGCAGCAAAGTCTTTTTGGGTTTTTGTGGTGTGGGATTTTTTGGGGTTTTTTTGTTGCTTAGTGCCATTATAACTGGAGACAAAGATTTTTAGCAGCGAAAGCAGGGAACCAGGAAAATAACCTGTAAATTGATAACTTTTACTATAAAGATAGTAAAGACACTCCCTGCTTTCCATACTAGAACACCACAGAGGAAAAATGCCCTTAAAATAAAACCATTGTACCCACAGGGCAATGCTGATCTTTCAGCTAAACAGCCCGAAACAACAAGATGCATCCTGAAATAAAGAAATTATAGGTTTAACATCTTAGAAACTCATTCCTCAGTTAACTTAGTAAGTACAACAACAAATGAAAACTACTTACTCAGAGTAAAGATTCTTTCTGAAATACTGTAAAAAAAAAAAAGAGAAAGATTTATCTATAATTATCTTAATAATAAAAGAATTTATATTAAAAACATAAAACAGTTAAGAAAATACCTCGGAGGGGATGTAAAAGGAAGAGAGTGGAGAAAACTTCAGCTCAACTGACAGTGGTGGAAGTTCATTTAAAGGCATGCCCATGTTTATTTCCCTTCTGATATTGCTGTAATTATTGTCCAGTTCATCCAAAACCAACTGCAGAGATGAATACAACTCAGCCTTTTTCTCGCAGCTATTAAAATATGGGTAAGAAAGCAACACCAGTTTAGACATTTCATTGATTTTACAGCTTCTGGAGACACCCAAAGATTTTACGGGATTTAAAGATTCCTTTACATTATACTATATAGAACATGAATTAACAACTGTATTGTGAATCACTTGAGTTTTATTCCTGGAAAAAAAGCAGGATTTTGGGACTGTGAATACTACAAAAAACCCCAAAAAAACCCAAACAAACAAACAAAAAAAGGCTTGAAATAAGACTTAGGGGTCATCTGGACAGCACCACTAATTATAAACACCCCTAGAAGCTATGGATAAAATCTACCAGTACCATCAGCAATTTTTGCCTGATCACCAGTTACCCATTTTATTTTAAAGGGCATTAAAGCACGTGCCTCCCAAGACAGGTGTTTTCCTCCAAAGCCAGCTCATACACCTTCAAGCAGTGCTGGTAGCACATCTTGTAATGGATGGCCAGGAGCTCCAGCTCTGCTTCAGTCGCTCTCTGCAGGACGTTCTGACAGCAGCTTGATGCAGAAATCTTCCCAGTTTGCTTGTTGGGATGTTCTGGCCTTTAAAATAACAATAACAGTAACAGAATATTTATTCCAGGGCTTGAATATTTTGTTTATGTTGGTGGTGTTTTATTTTGAAGCAAGGAGGTTGCCAGAAGCTATTTCTGATATGATTTAAGGAAAATCCTGTTTAGCCCCCAATAATGACTGTAGCATTACAGTCAGTTTTATCAGAGAGGTGAGAACTGCACAAGAATCATCACAATTTTTACCCAAAAAGTGAAGCCTTAAGAACAAGAAACTTGGCAATGCTGTAGATCTGCAAACACACTAATTTTGTTTCCACAGCCATGGAATAGTTTAGGTTGGAAAGGATCTCTGGAGGTCTGCAACTGCAGAACAAGGCTGCTTTGGTCTTTGTTCAACTTCAGGAAGTCTCAGCTCACTCTTCTAACCTGTCCAGGAAGAAACTTTCCAGCAGAAACTGCTCCCCAGCGAGCTTATAATATCATCAGTTTTGCCAAGCCACCGACCTTTCAATCATGAAAAAACCTCTGATCCAGAATCTCAAATTCCAAAACCAACTTCTGACCCACCTATCAGTGCCTGTCATCCAGTCACAGACAGACAGATGATCTTTGGATTCCTGCTTTGCAAAAAGAAAAAAAAAAAGATTAAAACTTACAGATTAACACCCATGCAGACAAGTTAAAATTAACAAAAGTTCTATCAAACTGGTCTGGTGGCCCTTCTTGTTTTGTGTCAATTACCTGCACGTGTGAGCTGAGAGCTCCTAAGGACGACTCCGTGTTGGAAGCAGCATCCACGGAGGTTTGAGCCACAGGCTGAGGTTTGCTCATCGTGGTTACCTCTGTGCTCACTGCCCTGGAGCAGACAGAGACCTGGGCACTGCTGCTTCTGCTCGTTGGGAAGGCAGCTCTGGGATCAGAGCCAGCATCCACAACGACACCGGGAACGCTCTTCAGGGCTTCAGCACGCTCTGACTTCCCAGCCCTGGGGCTCCCACCAGAGGATTTATCTGCAGCTTCCATGCCAGCACCAGGATTCTTGCTAGGGAGGATTTCAGGGACTGGGGGTTGGGTTTCAGCATCCTCTGCAGTGCTGCTGGTACCACGAGCGCACACGGCAGGTTTTTCACAGCTGCTGCAGCAGTGGGGCTCTGCGTGCTTGCAGAGCCGGGCCTCTTCCCTGGGCGGCAGGAAAGGAATGTCCGGTTCCACTGCCACGCTGCGGGTGGCTCTCTGGCTCTTTCCAGAATCTTCTTCCCCTGCTGTGATTTGGGGTGGCACCTTGTCACCAACGAGTGGCATGGCCTTCACCTCTCCAACCTCGCCCTGCTCAGAAAACTCACTCGAGTTGATCCTATCCTCGTACTCCTCGTGAGCACTGAGATACTCCAGCTGCGAGTCTTCCCCTAAATCTGCACCCAGGCAGGAGGTCTGAGTGAAGCAGCTCCTTCTGCTGCTCCTTTCCTCTTCCATGGCACCAGCACGCTCTCCTCCTCCTCAGGAATTCACAATACTCACTGCCACTGCAACCTCTCAAAGTCACTGATGTGGCTCTTCCTATCTTAATAAAAATTAAGAGAAGTTCAAGATGCTCCATAGTATACAGGACAAAAAAAAATACATTAAATTAACCATCCTATTTTCACCTACTACGGCAGATAGGAATTCTACAGCACATTCCTAAAGAAATCCCAAGAGCTGATTTCTGATTTGGTGGAATCCCTGTGACATAATACAGCACACAAAGTGTTCAAATAAACGTTACTTATAGCAAGGAAGAGGTGAACTTTGAGCTCTGTGCCTCCAAAAAACTAAAAACCCCTTGGATGCTGGACAAGGGGGAAATAAGAGCACATTCCTCTTAATTCTGGGGAAGCAAGAAGAAACTTACCAGGGACAAACCCCTAAGAAAACCTGAGAATCTTTACAATCAGAAAGTTGTAAAGGAACACAGGAAGATCATTTAGCAATAGAAGGAAGCCGGACAATTCACCAGACTAAAGCAATACACCTGCTCTGAACTTGCAGCAAACCCAGTTTGGTAACAAACACCAACAAAAAGCAGAAAGAAAGCATGTAGGGATAGAAGACACTCTTTGTGAAGCTTGTTTCATAGAAATATTGTCAATTCTTCTCTGCCTTCCCTCAGAAGCTTCCAACAAAGAAAGGAATACATACAAACACTATCCATATTCTCAGTGTCTGCTTTCTAAACCATTTAAATTACACATCCCAATTCCAGTCACTGTCTCTGACAGTCCTTCCCCAGGGGCTGGGGGGGGAATAAGGATTAATATTCAAATGTTCAAATAGTCAAGCCTTCCACTATCCCAGGTTGCTCCAAGCCCCATCCTACCTGGTCTTGAACACTTCCACGGTTTAATTATACACTTCTACAGTTATTTTTGCCCCAAAAACGTTGTCCTTTTTTACTACATTAGCTTTTCTTTCACCCCCTAACTGAAACCTCGAGCAACTCCGTGCAATTAAAAAAGCCGAACGCTGCCAAAGCACATCCCAGATGCCTGTACAGAAACCACATTACTGTCACATAGAAGCGACTTTTCCCTTGAGAACAGGAACCAAAACACCTCCACGGCCCAGCCAAGGTACAATAACCCCCCTGTCGCTGCTAGTGACACAGCCAAACCCTGAACCACAGCCGAGCCGCAGCTCTGGCTGGGTGCGGGGGAGCCCTGAGGGCAGCCCGGTACTCCCGCTCGCCCGCGGGGAACCCTCAGGCCGGAGAAGGGCGTCTCACCGCAGCTCCAGGGCAGGCTGAGGCGCGGTCCCACCGCCCGCACGAAGCCCGGGCCCGCTCCGCTCACCGCCCGCACCAAGCGCCGGGCCCGCTCCGCTCACAGTCCGCACCAAGCCCCGGGCCCGCTCCGCTCACCCACCCGCACGATCCCCGGGCCCGCTCCGCTCACCGCCCGCACGAAGCCCCGGGCCCGCTCCGCTCACCCGCCCGCACGATCCCCGGGCCCGCTCCGCTCACCGCCCGCACCAAGCGCCGGGCCCGCTCCGCTCACCGCCCGCACGAAGCCTCACGACCCCGCCACAGGCGCACCCAACGCCCGCCGGCGCGCCCCGCGCTCATTGGCTGCGGCGCGCAGCGCTCCGACGCCTGATTGGCCGGCGCGGAGCCCGCTCTCGCCGCGTGCAGCTCCTCCCCGCTGCCCTCAGAAAGTGGGGCCGCCGCGTCCCTCCAGAGTCGGTGGTGTCGTGTTCCCTCAGACCCGATACCGCCATAACCCCCCCTGAATCCCCGGTACCGCTGCATCCCTTCAAAGGCAGGGCCGCCGTGTCCCCTCAGAGCCGGTTTCGCCATATCCCCTCAGGAGCAGTACCGCCGTATCCCCTCACGGACCCTTTTCTCCCCTCCCGGTCTCTTTCCCCTCACGGTCGCTTCTCTCCCCTCACGGTCCCTTTTCTCCCTTCATGGAGCCTTCTCTCCCCTCACAGTCCTTATGTCCCCTCACGGACCCTTCTATCGCTCCATGGTCCCTTCTCTCCTCTCACGGTCTCTTCTCTCCCCTCACAGACCCTTCTCTCCGTCCATGGTGGCTCCTCTCCCCTCACGGACCCTTCTGTCCCCTCACGGTCCCTTTTCTCCCCTCACGCCGAGCACTGACAGACCAAAGCACAGCCGGCAGGGAGGGAGCGCAGCAGCTCTTGTACGGCTACTACGAATCACAGAATTATCCTGTGCTGCAAGGATCATGGAGTCCAATTCCCGGCCCTGCGCAGGACACCCCACTAATCCCAAACTCTGGGAGCATTGACCAAACTCTGGCAGCTCCCTGAACTCTGCTTTGGGGCTGTGACTATTGGCTGGGGAGCCTGTTCAGTGCCCAACCCACCCTCTGAGGGAAGAACATCCATCTAATATCCAGCTCTAACCTCCTCTGGCACACATTAAACCTACCTGAAAGTTTCCAGCGTGAAGGAGCGTGTTACAGGAGCACAGACAAACCTATCTGCCACACAGGTCAATGTTACTTGTGCAAGGGGCTCTGCTTCTTCATTTAAACACGCGTCAAGGTCATAATGAAGGGTGTAAAACACCACTCAGTTGCCTAAACTTAACCTTCAGAGACATACAATGGTTTAGAGCACCTAAAGTGAAGACAAGCACTACACTCCTGCCTAGTTTCTTTCATGTAAGTGACAGCTTTGGCAACACATCAGGGCAAGAGGACATTTAATACTAAAATAACATATTTTTAATGAACCAAGCTGCCTCCTGTTGTGAAGGAGTTTTCATGAAGGATTCTTCCAGGGAAAGCTACTGTGTGGGTTACCTGTATGTTCACCATAAATAAAAGTGGAGAATGAATCCAATTAGCAACACCATTGAAATTTCTCCTGATGGGGGACTGTCCCCGTCCTCCCCCTCCCCAAGAGCACTTGGCCATTAAAATGTCAAAATTTGGAGGTGCATGTGCATCCTGCCACTAAAAATGTTGCTATTTGGAGGTATGTCTCACAGCAGGGCCCTCAGTCACACAAGCCCCTGAATTTGTACATTTCCCAAGCAGTGTTGCTCATGTTCTGTGTGATCCTGCAGCAACATGTTGAAAAGGAAAATGAGCTCTTACACCCATATCGCCCTAAATTTTCTGTATTTTCCAAGAGAAATTGTACTGGTAACATCAGCATGGACAGACCACTCCATAAAAACTACCCAAACAAGTGACATTTTATTGGCGAGTTCTGCTCATAATGAATTTCCTTTTCCACGCTCACATCTCCTAACAGAGCGACTGGGGGAGGGGGAAAAAAAAAAAAAAAAACCCAACCAAAACAAAACCAAAAACATTTTGGGTAACATTCCATTTGCAAGCGATAAAAACCATGTAACATTTAAAAATAAAACAGAGGATAACAAATTGAAAGAGAAGTTGTAGGAAAACCCATCCTGGTTCCCCCAGGAGCTGTTCCTCGCCCGGCTGCCGCCACCTCGGCCCCGCTCTCAGGGCACCGAGGTGCTCTCGTTTGGAGCTCAAATAATAGGACTGGGACATGTGCTATGATCACCGTTCAAAGCCCTGTTGTTGTACATTCTTCACAGAAAAACAGAGAACAGTTTGCAGTAAACCAACCAGTTCTTTTTCTTCCCTTATTCTAACGCTAAGTCATACTGAAAGTTGGGGGATGGGGGGGAAATGTGGCTTCAACATTCACCTACTTTATCACACACAAAGGTTTCTACTAAGAGCATATCCAGGTTGAAATACACATCTGATTTCCGTCATGAGGTTGATGCTTATGGGGTGCGAGATGAAATCTACTTCAAAATGATAAACACATCCCTTTTTTATGAACAAAGTGTTATTTTTTGCCTTTTGGACCAACGCTTGGTTGCTGGGTTGTTTCCCCTGAGCCTTGCCAGGAGAGGCAGCTTTCACTGCTGCCACAAATGAAATGATGACTGGTGGCAATCACACACTTTACCATTGGTAAGATGTCGTATTTAGCACATTTTTTTGCATTCTCAAAATCCCTTTGCTCATTTTTTTTAGGCCCCCGAGGCTTTGTACACCAGAAATTACACAAGTCATGCACAGAAAATTGTAAATTGGTATCCACAGCCATTTTGAGGTATTCCACAAGAAACCTGGCTCTGCACCTGAATGTTCCTCTCAAAAACAATGAAAACAAACCCAAAAACCCCAAGCCCTAACTGGAGTGGAAATTTAATTTTAAAAGATTCCTTCCAACCCCACTTCACCACATTTCATCAACGAGGACATAATTCCCCAGGGGCACAAAAAAAGCCTTCTTCATCCTTTTCCTGGAATAATAATTTCAGTACTTCATTCCTAAATTTTCCTTGTGCACTTGCAAGAGATGAAGACGAGGGTGCTGCTTCCTAGCCAAACCAGAGGAACACATTCAGACAGCGGATTTGGTTTACTTCATTTGTGAAGGTGCTCGAGGAAGATGCCAGCGATCCCCCTGCGTTGGAAATAGCAGCGGTTCCTGCTCTAACCTCGCGTCTGCGAGGAGGAGGCTGGGCAAAGACCTGGATTGCAGGGTCTGAAGACCACGTTAGGAAGAAATGTGATCTCCTGGGCGTGGATTTAGCTTGGTAGAACCTCTTGAGGCAGCCACGGCCGCTCCCGTGGGACAGGAGACGCTGCTCCACCGCGTGAGCAGATGGCAGAGGGACTGGCTTCCTGTTAGGGCTGAGGTGGGACGGGCAGCTTTGTTCCTGGGGCAGCTGCTGCTCTCCTTTGAGTAGTACATTCAGAATGAGTTCCGATGAGCCAGAGCTGTAGTGCCAGTCGTGTGCCCTTTTTACACACGCAAGAATCGCCTGCAACGTCTCACCGGGTTACGCTGTTCTGCGTGAGAAGTGGAAAACCTCCGCGCGATCTCAGAAGGAAAGAACTCGCTACTTCCGTAGCTGTAGAAAACCCATAGGCAGTAATATTTTCTAAAGTGCTTCTTTACTTAGCAGTTATTCC